CAGCTTCACTGATTGGTTTTTTTCTATCTGCCCTTATTGTTTCGCAATATCTTGTTAAAAAAAATTCCTTCAGTTTGTGTATTTTCGCTGAATTACATTCAAAGATACTTTCTTGAGCTAAATGGTATGTAGATTTTTCTTATATCTATGCGGGATTGTTATGCAGGTTTACACTGTAAGATGGTATGTGTTTATTTACTTCTTTTGCTCCGATGTTCTTGAAACAGGAAGATATGAGCAAGAAAAAGAACCCTCGCGTCTTCTTAGATGTATCAATTGATAGGGCCCCTGTGGAACAAATTGTTATTGAGGTACATAAAAATCAGTTACACTCTCGCTTGTTGGAGTTTTTAGCTTGTTTTACTTGTTATAAAAGGAAAATTTTAGCTTGCATTTTGATATAGTGTTAATGTTAAACTCGTTTCTCCCAAAATTTTGCAGCTTTTTGCTGATGTTGTTCCCAAGACAGCAGAGAATTTTAGGGCTCTCTGTACAGGTAATTTAATGTAATTTGATTGTTGTGTTTGTTGGTTAAGTGTCCACTTTAGATTCTTTAAAAGTTTGAGGAATGCAGATTTGGTTTTATTATGGTTATGTCCGGAAGAAACAAAATATAAAGACTAAGAAGACATAGGATTTGTGAGCATTGGAACCACATTGGTGTTGCTGAAGTAAGGGCTCGTTTGGATGTGCTTTTAAAATGACTGAAAGCGCTTTTAGAGAAAATATTTTTGGGTTCCAAAAGCACTTTAAGTGTTTTCTACAAGAAGCACCAGTTATGTGTTTCTCCCAGGAAGCACTTTAAGTGCTTTTCCAGGATTTACTAACATTTTTACTAAGAATTGTTTTCAAAAATATTTTCAACAAAAGCGTTTTCAGTCATTTTAAAAGCACATCCAAACAAGCTCTAAATCAGTTCATAAACCCCGGTACTAATACATTATCAGATTTGGAAATCTGGTTATAGTGTTTGATTCCATATCTTTTGTTTTTCTTGGTATGAATTTTTTTCTGCTTACATTCATCATCGGTTAAATGACCTATGAGGTGACATTTTGTGTTGTCTTCTGTTATAGGTGAGAAGGGCATTGGAAAATCTACAGGCAAACCTCTCCATTACAAAGGATCAACATTCCATCGAGTAATAAAAGGATTTATGGCACAGGTATGTTGTCTCTTTTTCAGTGAAGCACCACCGTCACATATTACTTATCTTCCTGAAAGGACAAATCACTCTGTTATAGGTAGAGATGACAACTTTTTCTGCTCATTTTATTTATTTACCTTGTAAGTACTAACATGTCATAATTGTCCATGTTTCTCCTTTATACAGGGTGGTGACTTTTCAAATGGAAATGGTGTGAATTTCTTCCTATAAATCAATTTTTTGTTTGATGAATGTAAATTTTCTGTTTTACTTCGAAATTCATGCCCAGACTTGTAAAGATTGACCCTTGATTGGTTTGAAGGCACTGGTGGAGAAAGTATTTATGGAGGAAAGTTTGCAGGTAGATTTTTGTTTGTTTGTGTGTGCAGGAACCTGCACGCTTGCATGCGTCATAACTTTTTAGTTGTGGTCATGATTTTCATTGCCCTTGCAGATGAAAATTTTAAATTGAAGCATGATGGACCTGGTCTTCTGTCTATGGCAAATGCTGGTCCAAACACAAATGGTTCCCAGTTCTTTATAATCTTCAGGCGCCAGCCTCATCTTGATGGGTAATTTAAATTGCTTTTTTATTCACACTTTTATGTGAGATGCCATTTATACGCATTACCTACCACCATAGATCTTTTTCATTTCCATTTTTCACCACTTGGTAAAGAATGTTTTATTTAGGGTCCATTTGTAGCTTTTAAAATGATTTTTAGTCATTTAATGTGATTTTCTTTATCTTCTTTGTCAGGAAACATGTTGTTTTTGGAAATGTTGTGAAGGGAATGGATGTAGTTGAGAAAACTGAGAAAGTGGGAACTGCTGATGGAAAACCTTTAGAAACCGTGAAGATTGTGGATTGTGGTGAATTCTCAGAAATTAAAATCCCTGTTGCAACAGAGAAAGAGAAAGAGAAAGGTAATGTGTGTACATAAGTACTGACACAAGAGGCATATAAATACTTTATTTTGGCAGCATATAAGATCAGTTTTTCGTCCAGGTAAAAAAAGGAAATCAGGAAAGGTTTCATCCACTGAGGATAGTTCTGATGAGGAAGCAAGAGGAAGGCGTAAAAAATCCTTGAAGGAAAGAACTAAGAGAAGAAGATATTCTTCATCTGACTCCTACAGCTCAGAGTCTGAGTCAGATTCTTTGGATTCTGATTCTGATTCTTCTCGATCTGACTCACGTTCTTCTGGTGATGGAAGGCGCAGGAAGAGGAAATCTGTTAAAAAAGGTAAGCACCAGCGTTCAAGGAAAAGAAGAGATGGAAAAAAAGAGAGGAAGAGCAGGCGGCATTCCAGACGATCAAGGCGCAAGTCAAAACGGTACGGTTCCTAGTTACTTTAACTGCCACTTCTTTTTTTTTGTTTTCTGCCTTGGCCTCTTATTTTCCATGGATGTTTATAATGACCTTGTTTTCAGGAGATCGGAAAGTTCAAGTGATACAGAAAGTGAGAGTTCTAGAAGCAGCAGAAGCAGTTCAGATGATGATAAAGATGGTCCTCATGTTTCTTCCCGTAAAACCAGTAACTTAAAGGGTGCAGAAAAAAAACTTCCAACCAATGGTATGTCATCTATATTATTATAAGATGTCCACTGTTACCTGATAATAGTTTATGTGAGTTATTTGTTATTAACATTTATTTGTGTGCGTGCCTGCTCGTGGTTTGTTGTTATGTTTCAGACGCGGGAAAAGAACCCCCTCTAGTGAAAAAAATTGTTGTTGAACAGAAGAACAATCATGGTATGAAGAAAACTGAGGGCAACTCATCTCGAGGAGAAGGTGAATTATCTCGAAAGAATGATGCACCTTTCAACAATGGGCATAATGCAGAAGCTAAAACTGCTAATCAGAACTCTGACTCAGATGACTCGAACAACTCCAGGTTTCCACTGTTAATAGCCTATTGCGTTTATTTAGACTGGTTCATGCACAACTAATAGTTAGTTTTTTTATTGCTTGACAATTTCTGTGCATGTTTAATCAGCAGAAGTCCGACTCGCAAAAGGAGGTCAAGAAACAGCCCTAGGAGCAGGCCAAGCCCAAGTCCTAATAGAATTCCTAGTGGAAGTCCTCCGAGGAATACTGGCGAGAAAAGTAGAGGAAGGCTTTCTAGGAGTCCATCGGGTAGCCCTGTCCGGAAAGCTCCTGAACCTTCTACTACCAATCATGACGGGGGTCTGTCAAAAAGCACTTCTCCAAATGGAAATGCAAAGCGCGTTAGAAAAGGGCGTGGCTTCACTGACCGCTTTGCCTTTGCACGTCGTTACCGTACTCCATCTCCAGAGCGTTCACTCCGTAATTCCTATCGTAATGATGGAAGAGACACTTACAGAAGTAACCGTGATAGGTAATTTCAGTATTATGTTAGTGATTTATGAGTAATAAAGCATGCACGTAAAATGAATTATCTTTTGCATGTCTGAAGGTACTCAAGCTATAGAAATTTTTCTGAGCGCCCACCTCATAGACATTTCCGAAGCCCACCAGGAGGCGGAAGCCCACCAAGGTTCTCTCTCTCTCTCTCTCTCTCTCTCTCTCTCTCTCTCTCAACCAGCCTGAAGGCATATACTTAGCCATTGTATACACTAAATATATGAGGCGAGAAAAAGTAAAATCAGAGCATAAACGATCTTTTTGTTGAACATTTTGATCATAGTAGACCAACATGTCTTTTTTCTTTTGTTTATACACATGAAGTGAGCTAGACTCATTTTTATTTAAACCCATTAATTAATAAGGAAAAATCTGTGGCTCCGTCCCAAAGTCCTCTCTGAGAAAGATAAATTGTTGAAATGCTGCTTATAATTCAGAAGCATTTATCCTATCCAATCAATAAATGAAGCCCTCTGGATGAAATTAGTAATAGATTTTTGGCGTTTTGATGAGTGGGGAACTAAGCACGTCATCTTATATTACCAGGTGATTTCAACTACTGGGAAGAGGATCTTGTCAAACTTCACTTAATTAACCAGAATTCTAGTTTTACGTATTATGCTCCTGCACTTAATTGGATTTGTCGTTTGTATTTTAAGTTATGTGTTATATTGTTTATGGCATATTGAGGCACGAATGTAGCATGCTATTGATTGGGTTTTCCGTATATATAGAAACAGGAGCAGGAGAAGTCGAAGTAGGAGCATTTCCCGCAGCCCTGGTGGTTACCGTGGCCATAATAGGGACCGCAGCCGCAGCCGTAGCCGTAGTCCAGTAGATCGACCTCCTGTAAGTGATAGACTAAAGTCCCGCCTTGGACCCCGCTTTGGTGATCAGCACTCTCCAGACAGAGGTAGGCTTAAATCCAGGTCGAGGAGCCCGAGGCCTTCTCATTCCAGATCTCCAGATGCTACACCTAAGCGTCGTAATCAAACTCCTAGGTCTCCCAGTAGGTCAATATCAAGCTCCCCACCTGCTCAAAGGGGGTTGGTTTCATATGATGATATCAGTCCTTGAAATCTTTTTCCTGGTTCCAGCACGAGAGTAGTTGCATCTTGAGTACGTGTATATGCACGCAGAATGGATCAATCGGAATTCTAGGTTATGTTTCTCGTTTGATCTTGCTTTCGCATTGCAATGTAATTTGAATGTAATTGACTTGGTTTTAGGATGATGTGTGGGGTTTTTGTTTCCCTTTTTTCAGAGACTTGAGGGATTTCATGCCCGTTTAGAGCTAAAACAAAACGGCAATTTTTGGGGGTGCATCTGATTGCTTACGTAACTAAATCACTATTCAACATAGTGACGAAGTTTTGGGCTTGTAGCTCAAGTGGTAAGCGCATCCACCGCTGCGGTTGTGTGCTAAGATTTTCCATATAAATGAATTTTAGGGCAATCTTAAACTTTATAATGTATGTTTGCGATATCGGTCATCAACAATTCACTCTCATCCTGCATACACACACCACAACTATGCTTGCCTACTACTACTACTACTAGGAGTAGAACCAGAAAGGCATCAACTCTCTCTCTCAGATTGGTTGGCCTTTGGGTACAATTTGATCTTTGATCCACATGTATATCGGCACCAGTACATAATATGTTGCTGCCATGACACCCAACATGAACCGCACGAAGAACGTCCACGGGTTTACCGGCTTTGTCACGTCCTCTGCTTTTGGACCAAGCTGCATCGGAACACAACGACAGATGAAGAGTAAATAAGATAGAACATAGGATTAGATGGAACTACACATCATAAAACAAGAACAAAATTGACAGCAATAGAATTCGAGTTCAATGATCCATTTTAGCGACCGGAACTTCCACAAATTACACAGGAAATAATGAAGTTTCTCCATTTCTATAAACAGTAGTAGCATGGCCAACGTATTTGATAATCGAACTACTACACATTTAGAATCCACTAGTTTCATCGGAGTACTTGAATCTTAATCAACTCTAAATGCTGAAAAGAAAAGAAATCGATCATGGAAGAGCATTAATCATCAAGAAATAGGTCAAACAAAAGTTCTCCAAAAGAAAGTACCTGTAAAGGAGAATCCCCGGACGCAGGTTTAACGCCTGTTACAGAACATCCCATGATCAATCCATGGCGGCGAACCCCACGATACCATTTTGGGCCAATTCTTTTCAGCTGGACATCTTTAAACCCTGCCTTCTTGAACCACTCAATGTACTCTTCCTCCTTTGGGAAAAGCATCCATACATCGGCAAAGAAGCGAGATAACCAATATGTTGGGTACACAGGACCAATTACGCATGCTTTCCCTCCGAGTTTTAAGACCCTGTATGCTTCCCTGATGCCACGCTGCGGGTCTGGCCAGTACTCGATGCTGAGAAAATGCAATCATACAGTCCCATTAGAAAGACTACAAAAGTTAGCATGTGTATGTGAAAGTTCAAGATGAGCTAAAAGTGAAGACCATCATCCTGCACATTTTTACCACATGTTTGAGTTCAATATTTCACATCAAGTGTGCATTTGAAAACCAAAGATGCGTTCGTGCTCAATCAAGCAGTAGCATTCTTTCTGACAAGACTATATTCTAAACTACTCTAACCTACAAGGAGGAGGGGAATTCGAACATTGGCTTGGCCGATGTGCGTATAATAGCATTCTACATACGCGAAGACTATTTTCTAGCGGTAAAATTGAAACACGGTCAATACATTACATGACAAAGTTGCAACTCGAAGATTGACAAAAGCTAGAAAACACACCAAGGAAAAGGGTATGAGCAATGTACCTCCCAGCAGATACATATCGATCAGCGTAATCAGTTCGAAAAGGGAGGTCCTCAGCATCCCCCTCTATAAACTTGCACTCCTTCAAGGGCTCCTTCTGCTTAGCCTTGGCAAGCTGATGAGGTGACTGGTCAAGAATGGTGACATTCTTAGCATCCACATGCTTCACAATCCCCAGAGTGGTGAACCCCGTGCCGCCACCAACATCCACCACAATCATTCTCCGATCAGTGAGCTCCGCCGGCTCAAGCGCCTCGTCCCTCATGTCCTCGGTCCAATGCCCGGGGTTTATAACATGGTCATACACAATTGAGAGGAATCTGTAGAACCAGAAAGCCTCCTTCTTGTGCTGAATAAACCTCGGCTGAGAAGCCGGCCGAGGAGCCGAGATGCTGCCGCCGCTGCTGCTGCATCTGGGCACACTGATTCTACCACAAGATTTGGGAATTCTTGCGGCTGAAACAAACCCCGTTTTCAGAAACTGCTTCCCGTGAAGATCCGACCCGTTGAAACTCAACCCGTTTGGGGTTATTGCTCTCACGAGGGTGAGATTCTCAGCTCCATTGAGCATCGCAGAGACCATGATTTGATAATTCAGAGAAAACTCTGAAAGAAAAAAGCTACTGAATTTCACTTGGGTTTTCAGCTAAGTGAATAAAATCAGTGGAAATTGATCCGCATGCAAATTGTAGCAGTTTTATGGGGTTTTACTGTTGCTCTGTTCACTTATCTCTCTCTTTCTTGAAATGGAAAGTTTACGAGAGAGAGAGAGAGAGAGAGAGAGAACTTACTGGTTGAGGGAGCTTACAGATTGAGAGGAAGAAGCTTTTCTCGAGCGTTGAAGGAGCACCACAGGTTTAAGGTAGAGAGGGATAGGAACAAAATGCTTGTGAGTGAACTGTGAAGCAGCGTTCTTGTGGTGCTACTTTCTTTAGGTGAACGTTCTTGTGGTAGTGCTACTTGCACTTGACGCCAACAAGATCATTTTTTTTCCTCTCTTCTTTTTATGTCTAATTCTTATTTTTGAAGGCCACGATATTCCAAAACATTTTTCTTTAAGACAAACTATTGTCTACGTTAATTTAATTTGTTTATATACTACGGTGAGCAGAATTCGGATATTATTGCAAATGGGAGAGTATAATGTTCTACTCAACTTAACTAAAACTGAAACTAAAATAGTGATTAGGTTTAGCCAAATTGACTAGAGCAGTGTGTTTTTCTCTTTGACCGGGACTTAAGCCTACCTCTGTAAAATATCACTTGTACTGGCGGATCCATGATTTTAAACACGGAAGGTCCTAATAATAAATGTCAAAAAATTAATAGACAAAAATAACATTGAAAAGTTTAATTATAACATTGAAATTTTATTCTCGGGTCTCTTTCAAGATTATTCAAATCAACGTAACACTCATTTTGTCTTGAACTTAAATTATCCGAACTTATAAAGGGTGCTATTGGCTTTGGTTAAAAATCTTTCCATGTTTCTTATTTCTACGTTACACAATTGATAAAAAAAATAAAAAAAAAAAAAAAAAAAAACACACACACACACACACACACACACAAACATATACCAATTAACCAATAAACAAAAATTCCATCTAAATTCCAATAATCACATGAGTATACAAACATAAAACATATCAATAATCATATCAAATAATTGACTATAAACCTCCATCAATATCTAATATAATTTAATTGAGATTAGATTAGAATACCAAAAAACTTGCATGAATTTTGAACCAAATGGTGGTGGTGTGGAGATTTGAAATAAATTGAAGTATGATACTGCAGTAAAGTTTAAATATGGGATCGGGTAGGATTTAGAATTTTAGGGTTTTGAAAATGAGGGAATTGGGGATTAGGTGAATATGTGAAAATCAAAGCAATGGGATGGGGGAAGGGATGGGGAAGAGTGGGACTTGGGGGAAGTGCTAGTTGAGAATTTAAAACAAAATATACACTAACAACTACGTTTTGTATATTGTTTTAATTAAAAAAAAATTAAAACAGTTGGCCAAAACGAGCGTTTTCGGCCAAGCCTTAAAAAAAGAAAACTTCTTCACGCGGTCGTCTTCTCCGAAGTTGCCGCCGTTCACGCAATCGTCTTCTCTGAAGACGCCGCCACTTAGTCACTGCAGCTTGCATACATAGGCTTTTCTCCTCGAGTGCAAGAGGTCCCTAGAAAATTTTAAGGAACGATTCAAGGTTGTCGAGGGTTCCTGGTACCTCTTAGTTCCCTCAATGGATCTGCTACTGCTTGTACATAAAAAAAAACTAAAATGTGCAGAAAACTTGTAGCTTCACTTTTATATTCGGAATCTCGAGTTCAATTCTTCACCCCTTTAAAACCGTTTGTATCCCGAAAGAAAAACCTTCAACTAAAACTTAATTATGCAAAAGCAAAAATAATCTCTTAGTCGTTTTACATTTGGAGTTGAGGTGAGCCATGCAGAATCGATCTCTTGTTGCAAAATGCGATGCTGTTACATGGTACTCCATCCCACATCAATTCTGCCAGCAGTTGGTAGGATAGATAAATGTAAAAGGGACCACTTTTGGTGGGATCTAATTGTATAAGGTTCTTTTTTTTACCATGCAACACTAAAGTTTGTTGGCTGTTTGCCCAAAATTGTGCTCCCTTCATTTGTGTCACTTGGTGTTCGATTTACACCTTTCAACTTGATCTTTAATCTATTTCGTTGTCTTATCTACATCGAATTAGTTGCAAGCTGATTTTATTCTTGTTTTTTCAAGTATTAGATTACGAATTTGAACGTGTAATCTATTGTTTCTATAATTTCTTATGTGTTAATAAAATACAAAGAAAATCACGCGGTATAATAACTTTAGCAGTATATTTTAGAAAACTTTGGAAAATTAAGAATTAAAATAATTCCAAAACCTATTTCATTTAAGTATGCATGTTATATCATCTCAAAAAAAAAAAAAAGGTATGCATGTTATATATTGGATTGGAATTGATAAGTATTATTGATTTCTAAGTCTCAAGACATTAGTCTCAGAGTATGTTTTAGGTGTACCCGAAATATCTCCACGTGACGTTACTATTTTATTCAAATTATAATAATGTATTTTATTTTCTATTATTATATTCTAAAAATATGACATATCAACATTGTCATACATTATTATCACGTAGAATACTACTACCATATGTCAGCACTACAACTAATAAGGGCAGTGTGTACTGATACAGATGACTGTGAAGGAGACTTTTATCAGTGTCTAATGAGAATTTTACCCTTGAAACTTTTGATTGAGAATCATTGTTTTAAATTGGAATCGTTAATGACAAAAAGGCTACCTTTATATATCCGTCCCCCTCTTTTATTTCCATTTGAAAACAAATACAAGTTTTACGTCCCATCAATTTTTACAGAAATTCTCTCACGTCATGCTGGGATGAATGCCAGACCAGAAAACTGAGGGAGTTTGAAGAATTGATTGAATTAATAAATGAAAGCTCAAACATGCAAAATGGCTAAATTTTTAAAACAATTAAATGAATACAGATAACCAAAGGCAAACGGCCAAAGGAAATACACTTTGTCAATCAAACAACTGATCAATAACAAAATCAAGCATCCAACTCAAACGTTTTGTTTCACTTTACCTGTTACTTAGAAACCAAATATAATCCAAAAAAACTTGGGCGTGTAAAACCCTAATTAAATGAATATGCAACCCCAAACCAAATTACAAATTAACAGAGAAACAAAACTGAGAGAGAGAGAGAGAGAGAGAGAGAGAGAGAGAGAGAGAGAGAGAGAGAATTACACTCTGTGTCCTCTGAGCATCGCTAAACACCTGAATTTAGTACCCACAACCAAAAGCAAAAGTACATCATTAAACACAATGCTAAAGAAAAATTATCAGACTTGAAACACAAAAAAGAGTTTCATATCTGAGACCGAACTGAAGAAGAGGAGAGCGCGTAATCACAATAATATCTTTTTCTATAATAACAGTGTTATAGTGGAAATGACATTGTTGTTCTAATTAAAAGATAAAAAAAGGAGGACACGCATGGAGCTGTGAAAGTGGGAGAAGAGGAGGGCGTGATGTTTAGAGGAGATAGAGAGATAGAGATGTACTAATGCCCAGTCTCGAGACCTTAGTCTCGGAGTAACTTAAGGGGGCGTTTGTTGCGCCGGACTATCTCGGACTGGATTAGCTTCAAGGACTAAGCTGGACTGGCTTAGACTAGACTAAATTGGACTAACTTAGTGAAGCGTTTGGTGCAGTATTGGACTAAGAAGCTGGATAATAACAAATTCTAATATTATATTATTTAATATATAAATTATTAATATTTTTATTATGATCTTATCTTTTTCTTCATCTTTTCCTACCATTTCCGTCTCACTCTTTTCCTCTTCTCTCATCGTCCCACCCTCTCCCTCTTTTTTTCCTCTTAGACCTCTCAATTCATGTCTCTTTCTCATTCCTGGTCAAACTCCTTATTGATTCCAATCTCTATTTCTCTGTCATCCCTCCCTCTCTAGCAATGCGTTGTTCGAATCGAACCTCATGGCTCCAATTTTCTTGACGAGTTGCAGGTTTCCCGATGTGTTTTCCGGCCAACCCTTGTTAAATTGGATGAAGTTAGCACCGCCAAAAAATTCATCACCATCCCTAGATCGAGATCTTAGCTTTGAATGCTCGAATCTGTCATGGATTTGAAGAAGCCTAAACAGGCCGAGACTTCCAGGCCATTTTCCGGCCACATTCGACCACATTTTGGCCTCAATTCAAGTAAAATCGTAATCTTGTCACTCCCAGCTTCAATTTGGTATATTTTATATGAAAGTTGGTTGTGAAATGGATCTAAAAGAGAGTCGGAAAGTTAATGATTGATCTAGGTGACCGGAGATGATGAGGAGTCTGTCGGGAGTGGTCGTTGAGCATGACGAGGACGAGAAAGAGAGGATAGTCTTAGTTAGTCCCATGGTTATTGGGGGGTCTCGCTAAGACCTCTTAGTGAATGGTTTTGTCCATGCTAGTCCCCTTTAGTCTCATTAATGTTAGTCCCAGCATGGAACAAACACAGTATTGGACTAATAGCTAGTCCAGTCCAGTCCAGTCCAACTTAGTGAGGGCAAACAAACGCCCCCTAAGTATATTCATTGGCGTCGGTGGCCTAATTCCAAATCTCGAGACCTTGGTCTCAGAATAACTTTTAGGTGCATCCTAAACATTATCATGTGTGTTATTGTTTCATTAATAGTATATTTGTTTTTTTTTATTATACTTTATAAGTAAGACATATGAATACTGATGTATACTCATATTATAACATATGAAATGATAACACAACATGTCAGTGTTCTCAATACACACAAAAAAGTATCTCCTAGTCTTAGAGTTAAGGTCGAAGGTATTGGGATTAAGTGTCCTAATAACTTCTTAATAGAATAGGTTAGGCTACAAACATAGGATTGAACTAATCGAACCCTTCTACTATCCCTAACCACCCAACAACTAGTATAAGGATTATGAATCTAAACTATCCAATCCAAACGACCTCATTGGCCTTGACTTTGAGCTTGCAATTTGCGAAAAATAATTATAGAGTAATGATAGTGAGATCAAAATTTTAAATCAAATGATATGTCACTAATAAGAAATAAGCAGGTTAATTGACACTTACTTAATAATTCAATCATCTACAACCACACCATTTAGTTTGCAAATTTGATTTAAATTTTTGATCTCCCTAGCATTATCCTGACTTAAGTGTTGATTAACATGCTTATTTTCTATTGATGACATATCATTTGATTTGCAGATTAGGTATCCTTAGCATTATTTTTAACAATATGTATGTATACGTAGATTACTTATTATAATCCCTTAATTTGCACAAAAATATAAATAAATAAAAAAACCAATTATTTAACCTGTTAATTAAAAAGAATTTACTTTAATATATCATGTTCCTCCATTGGAACCATCAATCTATTGGCCAAGAGCAAGCCCCCATGCGAATGGCGGGAATTCCAGTGCCGAAACTTGTAGCCATTGGATTCACCGTACGTCGTGGAAAACGACGCGAATGAGAGACGCTAAAGCTTAGGAATCTCTTGGTAACGATGAATCTCAATCCAGTTCCAATTTTAGCCATCAAACGTGCAAATATCTAGTTTTCAACCAACAAGGTCAAATGGCACATCAGTAACTTCACACGCCCCTGAACCCGGAAGTACTCTGCGGACAATTTTCAGATTCATTAATCTGGACAAAAATCACGTAGAACCAAAAAAGATCCAGGCAAGGAACAGCAAAGCCCCGATGCTTCAAAGTCACAATCCACAAATAAATTTATAAAGCGTTCATGGCATCCCATTCATAAATCAACACACAATCATCATCTACAGTCTAAGCCCTAAGCTCGTTCGTCAATCCATCGCAATGGCACTCCCATCGAACCTCCAACCTGACGAGGCGAGCCCCGAGTGGCTCAGCAAGGGTGACAATGCTTGGCAACTCACGGCTGCCACGCTCGTTGGCATGCAGAGCGTGCCAGGCCTTGTCATTCTCTACGGAAGCATAGTGAAAAAGAAGTGGGCAGTGAACTCCGCCTTCATGGCTCTGTACGCCTTCGCAGCAGTCTTGGTCTGTTGGGTCGGCTGGGGCTACCAAATGTCGTTCGGGGACGGGCTTTTCCCATTCCTTGGCCGACCCAATGTGGCCATGGACCAAGCCTTCCTGCTGAAAAAAACATTCAGTGGGTTTCTTCCAAATGCAACCATGATTTATTTTCAGTTCGTGTTTGCAGCCATTACGTTGATTTTGATCGCCGGGGCTTTGTTGGGGAGGATGAACTTTCATGCATGGATGTTATTTGTACCCCTTTGGTTGACATTTTCTTACACAATTACTTGTTATAGTATTTTTAACCCCCAAGGCTGGTTGTATAAGATGGGGCTTATTGACTACTCTGGTGGCTACGTCATTCATCTCTCTTCTGGTGTTGCTGGTTTCACTGCTGCGTACTGGGTAAGTCAACACAATTTTACTAAAGTCAGTTGTTTAGTTTACCCTTTATGTGGACGAAATTTCACCATTGATGTATTATGGCCTCTCGAGCATCACGGGCCAAAAATTTAACCATTAGAATTTGAGCCACTGATCGTAAAATACATCATAATTTTAGCTCAGCCAAAGTTTACTCTTTATTAACCTACAAAACCTATTTGCAAAGAAGGGTAAGATTATGTATAATAGACTTCTCCCGATAATCACAAAGCATGAAGCCTTGATGGTTAGGGTCGCCTATATTGCTCCATACATAATATTGACCATTTTTAATCTAGCCTATCAGTCACCCTTTCTGTGAAGTCTAGGCCGTACTGCATGGTGAAATCAAACTCTAATAATAATTGTTTAGAGTTTATAAATAGAATTTGCCCCTAAAAACTGATTTGTAAGAAAGGTTGCATAAATTTTTTTTTAATTTTTTATGATAGACCGCTATATTCTAATATGAGCAACATGCTTATGGCAGAACATGTCGAGTATGTCTCGCATCCATTAGATTTTTTACATTAGTATAATGAATTAAACTTAAATACAAAAGAGCGAGCGTATTATCCTAATCAACTAATTTAACACACTTCTATCAAATAATTTTATTTTGTGGGTTAAAATTAAGTTGGTTTTACAAGTAAACCACAAATACTGTTTTCCTTGAGGATTCAGGTTGGGCCAAGGGCAACCAATGACAGGGAGAGATTTCCACCAAACAACATTCTGCTGATGCTTGCTGGGGCGGGCCTACTTTGGATGGGGTGGAGTGGATTTAACGGTGGAGATCCTTACATGGTGAGCACAGACGCATCTCTGGCCGTCCTCAACACCCACGTGTGCACTGCCACTAGCTTGCTGACGTGGCTCTTGCTTGACATTGCTTTCTTCGGGAAGCCCTCTGTGATCGGCGCTACTCAGGGCATGATCACTGGCTTAGTTTGCATTACTCCTGCTGCAGGTATAAATTAGTCGATTCACATAAACATACTCAAATAATTTTGGCTTACCCTTTTTATTTAAATGTCATAATAAACATGAGATTTCATTTTTCTTGCTTTAATTTGAAAGCTAAATTTAATATCATGTGGCCAATTTGAACTATTCAGCCAGTTTATACTTATCTCTAAATTAAGCCTACTCAAAATAATATATTTCTTAGTGCAATTGTAAATTGTCACATCAAATTACTGCCCCATCATATTTTATATATATCATTTTATTTGAGTTGTACATGATCACTTAGGACCCGTTTGGTATCCTATTAAAAAAAATCAACATTTCTCAAAACATTTCTTAAGAACATCTATCAAAAACAATTTTCTTTAAGACCCCAAAACTTGTTTGGTATAAAAGGAGAAGAGAGAAAAGTAGGGATGCTTAGAGTTTAAAATCTCGCTTTTAATATTATTTTCAAGAAATAGACTATATTTTTAAGTTAGTTTTGAATTCAATTTGGAAAATAATTCTACTAAGCAAGTACTTATGACTTCAAACTTAAAAAGTGTTTTTGAATTTAGAAAGTTGAATTCAAGTACAAAACAGAGCCTTATTGTGTCACATAATCTTTTGAGTATAGGAGTGGTACAAGGTTGGGCAGCAATCATAATGGGAATGATGTCAGGAAGCATCCCATGGTACACTATGATGGTCCTCCACAAGAAAAACGGCATCCTAAAGCAAGTCGATGACACCATGGCCGTGTTCCACACCCACGCCGTGGCCGGAAGCCTAGGTGGCATCCTTGCCGGCTTCTTTGCCCACCCGAGGCTCTGCCGTATATTCTACTTAACCAACAATTGGGAACACTACATTGGCCTTGCCTATGGATTGCAAAGTGGCCATGTCGGTGCAGGGTTTAAGCAAATGGGAATCCAATTCCTAGGAATAGTGTTTGTGGTTATAGTCAATGTGATCACCACTAGCATCATTTGCTTGTTCTTGAGGTGTTTCATTCCACTCAGGCTCGACGACGACGAGTTACAGGTCGGTGATGACGCGATCCACGGCGAGGAGGCTTATGCATTGTGGGGAGATGGAGAGAAGTATGATGGTTCCAAGCATAACTCAGTTTATGGAATGGAAGAGTTTCCCATGAATGCGCCTAAAGCTGAGCCATGAAGTTGATATGCTTTTTTTTTTTTTTTTTTTGTTAATTTCTACTTTTATTTGTATTTGTATTTGTATTTTGGTTTCTTGCAAGAAACGTAAACCTCGTTTGGAAGTGCTTTAAAAATGACTAAAAACGTTTTGGTAAAAATGTTTTTGGATGCAAGTGCTTATGAAATCCATTTTCTCAAAAAATGTTTTCAGTTATTTTAAAAGCACTTCCAAACGAACTCATAATCTACTCATCATCTAATGTAATAAGAAATAAATAAAAAAATATTGACAAACTATTTTGTCATTGTAATTGTACTTGCTCTGCTATTCTGCCCCAACCTGGTTAAGGAAGAAAATATGGTTAGCGACTTCATTTCTTGGGTAGGAAAATGTTAGACTACATCTAGCTCCAAAATGAGGTGGAACCTGCACCAAATTAAGGGCCTCGTAGTAGTCTCGATTTCAGCGGTCTATTTTTCAAGTGTTTGTTTGACTAAGAAAACATAAGCAAACAACTTTTCTTTAATTTTCTTTTTTTTGGGTGTTATTGATTAAGAAAAAAATATTGTGCTTTTTTTTAATTTTCTAAATTTAAAAGTTCATAAAAAAAAAAAAAAAGTGATGAAATATAACATTGGTAGTTTGGAGACTTGAACCGAAAACAAAACAAAAAACATACCTAAATTGTAAGGGCATTACAACTTAGTTATTTGAAAGCATAAACCAACAAACAGACCTAAATCGTAAATTCATTACAAGATAGTTATTTAAATGCTCCAAACATAAGAGTTAGGTCTCCAACGGCGCACAAGTGCAAAATTTGAATTTTGTAGGTTGAAATGTTCATTAAAAAATTTAGGATAATACGACTAAAAATCAACTTGAAAAAAGTTAAGACAAAAATAAATTTACCACGTAATCAAATTACTACATAAATAAATATATAATCTCATATAGAGCCAAAAGGTGTATAGCCCCTCGTTAAGAGAGATTATTTTTTAAGAGCCTCAAAAATTTCTTAAAGCTCTAAAATGGACTATATTTACTACTTTAACAGCCTCATATAGAACCCTTCATTGGAGATACTTAGAAGAATCATGTGCTTCTTGTAAACCCTAGAGAGCAGGCACATGCTTTAGCCATAGGATCTAGACTCTAATTTTTCGTGAAAGAGAAGTTACTACAAATATTTAGCAATTGATTGCATGTGGTGGCAAATATCGACAAGCTATGTTGGTCAGAGTAATTTTTTTATTTTTAGTACAACGATATATTTTATATTAAAAGGAGGGAGAGTTTGATTAAATTATACAATAGGCAACCTAATTTGGTATCGAATTTGTCATTCATGAAATTCGAACCTAAGGCCTGGTTTGGTACTGAGGTGATTCTGAAAAAAACTGGTATAAAAAAAAGCCGGGAGCTGTTTTTGTGTTTGGTAAATATTCAGCTTCAGCTTTTTTTCACATTTGTTTTACATAAAAGTTTACCAAACACTATAATACTGTTTTTTTTTTTTTTTTTTTTTTCAAAAGCACTTTTACAAAAAAGTTTACCAAACACTTTGTTGCTTTATTTCACAGGTGCTTATTCTCACATCACAGCAGTAGCAGCTCTTTTTCAAAGCACAACAATACCAAACCAGCCCTAAGACCTCTCACTTATAAGTGAAAATGAATACAACCAGACCGTAGTATTGAGTGACATGTTAGTCAGAGTATTGTTCCCCCTGTATGGAAATCAAATGTCTTTTTTTAATTAATGATAAATCAGATTAGGTTACAATATCATTTGCAATAAGAATTGGGAAATGTTATTAGCACTCCAAAAATCTCATAATACACTTCTCACAAGTGTATTTTTCTTTCTAATTATAGAAAGTTTGGAGTGACAAATAAGTTTTTTGGAGTGCTAACTGCTAATAACAATTCACGCATAATTTTTTTTTTTAACAAATTATATTATTTGCACTAAGAGAATAAGATGAGTTTAGTCTCACAATAGGTTCGAAATTGCTTTGGCAATAATCAATGCATAGGTTAAATTTATGTAAGCAAGAACTTTGGTGTTAGATGCATCGGTGATTCCCCTGCATATAATAGTAAGCGAGAACTTTGGTGTTATATGCATCGGTGATTCCTATGCATATAATTTCGTAATTAACAAAGAAACAATTATTTTAGCATACCGATAATGCCCGGGAGGGTCGGAGTGTTGAGGGAACCAATCTCTTTTTTTTGTCGTGAGTTTTGAAAAGCAGGAGGACTAAAAGTAAGGAAGCAGATGACGACGGAGGCAGTGAACCTGCCGATCATTGACTTGTCCTCATCAGATTCTATCTCCTCCGCCGATTCAATCCGTCGGGCATGCATAGAGTGTGGTTTCTTCTACCTGGTGAATCATGGCGTCGAGGAAGAGCTGTTTGCAGAGGTGTTCGATCAGAGCAGCAACTTCTTTTCGCTTCCTTTGGAAGATAAGTTGAAACTGGATCGCAAGCATCACAGTGGTCACAGTGGATACACCCCACTCTTTTCCGAAAACCTCGACTTCGCTTCCAGCTCCAAAGGTGACTCGAAAGAGAGTTATTACGTCGGCAATTTATATGACCCAACTCAGAGTCATTTGAATAAATGGCCTTCAGAAGACATCCTTCCATCTTTGAGACCTACAATCGAATCGTACTATAGAAAAGTCCTGTCTGCTGGAAAAAGGTTAAGCTCTCTGATTGCCCTGGCTTTAAACCTAGATGAGGACTTTTTCGACAAAGTGGGGGCACTGAATAAACCAAGGGGTTTCCTTCGACTTTTGCACTATCCAGGTGAGCTGGGATCAAACGATGAAGAAATATATGGTGCTTCTGCTCATTCAGATTATGGCATGGTCACACTCCTTGCATCCAATGGAGTTCCTGGACTTCAGGTTTGTAGGGATAAATCTAAGCAACCTCGAGTCTGGGAAGATGTTCTTCACATAGATGGGGCATTCATTGTCAACATTGGCGACATGCTGGAGAGGTGGACTAATTGTTTGTTCAGGTCAACACTGCATAGAGTGATGCCAGCAGGACGAGAACGCTACTCCGTCGCTTTCTTCATGGATCCCAATGAAGATTGTGTCGTGGAATGTCTGGAAAGTTGTTGCAGCGAAGAATCACCGCCAAGATTTCCTCCCGTCCGCAGTGGGGACTACCTGGAAGAGCGTTTTCGGCTTACAAATGCAATTTAAAAGGTCCGTCTTTTGCAGTTGCAGTACGATGATTTTACTCTGTGATGATAAACGGCTTTTATAATCAAATACATCTATTACAAATCCTGGTTTCATAATTCCACTGGAAATAAATTGCTATTGTATGTATTGAGCTGGTGCCTAAGGTCCCGTTTCAGATTGTTTCTCTAACAAACACTTCAGTTCATAAGCGTTTGTGACATCAGTGCTTTTATTATAAATATGTTGAAGTTTTCTATACTCTTTTTTCGTGGATTGAGAAGAATATATTGAATGAAGTTGGAGACTGAAAAGAAAAGAAAAAATTATGTTTAGCATAACGCGTCACGTGGATTTTTTTTAGGATGAATTGCTAATTTAGTCCCTCAATTATCACCTTAGTGAAAATTAAGTCCCTAAACTATTTTTTTTTTTTCAAAAAAACCAATCCTTGAATTATAAAAATTTGCCAATTACAATCCTAATATTATTTTCGAAACTATTATATTCAATTTTCCATCAATTTAAGTCGAGTTACTTGCATGTGATACACCTTGGAGGGTAGATTGGTAGTTTTTCATTAAAAAAAATAGCGTATGGAATTAACTTTGAAGGGTAAATTGGTAGTTTTTCATAAGAAATAGTGTAAGTTAACCTTGAAGGGTAAATTAGACGTTAGATTCGCAACTTATATGAAATGTTAAGGGCTTATAGGCAAGAAAATGACGGTATTACACTCTTAAGTGTGTCAAGTAACTTAAGTTAACGAAAAAAATGGATAAAATAGCTTTGAATAAAATAGTAGAGATGAAGTTAGCAATTTTTAATGACTTTTAGGGACTTATTTTACCAAAAAAATAATTCAAAGACCTAATTTTCACTGAAGTGATAGTTTAGAGACTAAATCAGCACTTCACCAAAAAGAATGTTAGCTCATATACCCTGCCTTCAAGGGCAATTTGGGATTGCTGCATTTTTTTTTTTTTAAAGCTACTTCTGTTGTGTTAGAAGAATAATGAGCTATAAAATAAAGTATTTAAACATTTGATAAATTTTATTTTTAAAAGTTTTGTGAGTATATTTAATGTAGAAGTGGTATATTTGTAGATAATAACAAAAATGGACATGGTAGCGGAGGTGGTGGCGATGACAATGGTGGCGAGGGCAGTGGTGATGGTTGTAGTGATGATGGTAGGGACAAGGGTGGAGGGTATGGTGCTCTTACCGATTGTTATGATTGGGGTGTAAAGAGGTAATAATGGTGGTCAGGGTGGCAACAATGGCAGTAGTGACGGTTGTGGTGGCAGTTGTGGTATGCTGGTGATGGTGAGGGTGGCAGCAATGATGGCGATTGTTGTAATAATAACACTAGTTGTGGCAATGATAGTCGTGGCGGTGGTGCCAGCGATGGTGGCGTTATGGTTGGAGTGGTGGTAATGACAATGATGGTTTAATATTAGTGTTTGCAATAGTAGGTGGTGGCGGTTATTTTGTCTCCAATAGATAAAAAGGAAAACTAATGAAAATGACTTAAAAAATTTAAGTTTTAACGATAAGGACAAAATAAAGGATAAAGTGAATAGTACCATGATTGACTTTTTAGTGTAAAAATGTGATTTTTCGTTAAAGTGAATAATACTGAGAGTTTTTTTGTTAAAATTCCCTAATTAAAATGTGTGTAAAAGTTCAAATATTGTCATTTTAAAAAAACTAATGAGGGGTTACAAAATTTAAAATATTCATTAAAGACTCAACTCTGCTTTATTCAAGCAACTTACATGATGTTTTTGCTTTTAAAAGCTGTTGCATGAATGTCATTGCTTTTAAATATTTTGCCGAACACTTATATTTTATTGTTAACGTTAAAGTGAAACCATTTTGGGGGAAAAAACGCCCCCGGCGGGGGGGGGCGCGGGGTCGAAGAAGAAGGAATAAAAACACTTCTAAATAAAGCTAAAGCTGTTGTTTTGCCACTTGAAACACATTATGTAGTTTAAAATATGGATTCAATGAGTTGTCATTCAGTATTACGATATGATGCTATTCTTATTCACTTAAAAGTGAGATATCTTATGTTCGAATCTCATTGATGACGAATTCGATACCAAATTAGGCTACCCATTATATAGCTTAGCCGAACTCTTCATCTTCTAAGTATGAAATGAATGAACAATAATTAACTGAAGGTTGGAAACAGTCTTTCCACGAGTCTCCAAAAGTCTTGATATTTATTTTTGTATTTTTTTTGGTGAAAGCTTGTTGCTTGAAATATAGATAAGAGAGAGTGAGAAAAGCCGAAGAAGAAGGAATAAAAACACTTCTAAATAAAGCTAAAGCCGCCTCTTAGCTGTTGTTTTGCCACTTGAAACACATTATGTAGTTTAAAATATGGATTCAATGAGTTGTCATTCAGCACTACGATCTGTTCGTATTCTTATTCACTTGAAAGTGAGATGTTTTATATTCGAATCTCATTGATGGCGTATTCGAATCTCATTGATGACGAATTCGATACCAAATTAGGCTACCCATTATATAGCTTAGCCAAACTCTTCATTTTCTAAGTGTGTAAAAATATCAATGTATTAAAAAAAAAGATTAAATGACCTAATGAACAATATTTAACTGAAACAGTCCTTCCACGAGTCTTCAAAAATGTTCATTACGTATGGTATGAAATGAATGAACAATAATTAACAGAAGGTTGGAAACAGTCTTTCCACGAGTCTCCAAAAGTCTTGATATTTATTTTTGTATTTTTTTGGTGAAAGCTTGTTGCTTGAAATATAGATACGAGAGAGTGAGAAAAGTCGAACTTGTACGAAATTTTCCTCTTTCTTCACCCGAAACACCACCTACCAGATCTGTATGCTGATGCATAACATGGGTTTGTAATGCGTGCGTGAGCTGGAAGAGAAGAATGGCGTCCGATACGGCGTCGTCGGTGGAAGAACAGGCGCAGCAGCTGGTTGCTCGGGGTGGTTTAGTCGGAGGAGAAGGAGGAGGGTCCACTGATAAGAGAGGAAGGCATCGGATTCTCGCCGAACTCAGCCGCCTCGAACAAGAACTTAAGTTCTTGCAGGTTTCTTCCTTTTCGATGCCACTTGCTTTCTGTCTCTAAATGCTGTTTGTTTCCCGGGAAAATTCTTACTTGTAAAACAGTGTAAAACATTTCCCACTTCCTATTTTTCCCCTTTTGAGGTTGCAATTCAAGTTTTGCGTAAAAAAGCTTGAAGCTTTGTGTGTTAAAGGTAAAGAAAGTAACTTTCTTTACAGAAAAGGGAAGGTGAAAGAAGAGGGGATGAGGGTTATTTTTGCCAAGGCATGTTATCTAGGGATTGGTTATTTGAGGAAGAAAATATTTCTGGGTTTTTGGAAAACTGCATGTTATGATTCCGGCTTTGGCGTTGAAGAATGTAAGAACGAGTCGCTGGTCCTCTCTCTGAAATCTTGACGTTTAATTTGAGTGGTCAAAATATTGGGAAGTTCCAATTTTGTGGGAAATGTCGCATTTAGGGATGCAATTTTCTCTGACTGCTTTTTGGTACTAATTCAGGAAAATTGTTAATGGAGAGGTTACCAAATAGGCTGCAGACTTGGTCAACAGCATATTTGACTGGGAAACTAAAGAATGTAGCTTAATTCTTAAGTAGATTTATCATCGTGATAAGCAGAAAGTTGTTCTCTTTCATATGGGTGGATTGACAATTGTTTTAAGGGAAAATCAAGCTGCAAGAACTCACTAGTAACTCGTTGCCGGTCAACGGGATTGTTATCCGAACAATCATTTAGCCCTTGATGTAGGATGTGTTGAACCACCACTTTTTGGCTCTGTGAAAATCCGTTTGACGGTTAGATTGACAAAAGCACAGTGCAATCAGTAGTTGTTTTATGTTTTGATCATATACATTACATCGGGTGCGTTTTGTGGTATCATGTCACATTTTTAGCCCTCAAATGCTTTAATTTAATCAAGGTATGAAAGGAACATCATCATAGCTCAACTCTAGGGAATGCTAACCACATTTCTCGTTTTTAGGCTTCCAAGTTAAACTGATGTCCAGTTTTATTTTCATCTTCCAAAGCATTGATGCTGTAGGGACTTTCTGGTCTTCGAAGAACTTGGAATAAAGTTGCTTTGATTGTATATGTGTATGACTTGTCTGGTTTGCTTGTTTTATTTCTCTTGTGGAATTTCTTATGTTCCATATCCTTACATAGTCCTAGGTTTTGTTCTAACAATTTGAGATTTTCCTGCATATTTCTATATGCATAGCTTATCCGAATTAGTGCTAGACTTAGGCATTGATATATAAGTAGAAAACAGTCTTTCTGGTCCATAGCAACACCCCTTTAGACAGAATAAGTGCCTCTCTGTGATTAATTACTTAAATGAATCATGCAGTTCATGGCTTTAATTTAACAGATAAGCGTTTTACATTTGTTATGTGCATGAGGTAGATGAGTTTTTTCTTATTCGTGTTTTAACGTTGTCTATATATACTCTTTTTATTCTTCTTCTTTTAGTTAGTGCAACATTTATAAACTTATGTCGCTTGATATTGTATTATCTGCATTGTTGTCATATTTAAAGTACTGCAGAAGGTCATAGTCGAGTGAGTATTTGTAAACAGTCGGTCACATTTTGATGTTACTTTGTTTCTTTGATATCCAGGACGAGTTGGGAGAGCTCGAAAGAACCGAAAATGTTTCAACCATTTGTTCAGGGTAAGTATGAGCAGCCATATATAAAGTACCCTGTCCCAAGGCTTAAGTTCCTAACATGTAAAATCTGATAAACTCGATTCAAAGTGATGAGCAATGATCTGTTTTTGGTGATATCCCTTAGATTGCTGCCGTACGTCGAAGGCAGGCCAGATCCTCTACTCCCATTGTAAGTTCCATGACCAATCTCCTCACTCTGCAATAATACAAGTTACTTGCTGCAATTTCTATATGTCTAATGCTCCATCCTTGATTTATTCTGGTTGCAGAACAAATGGACCCGTAAATCTGGTATGGGATCGATGGTTCGAAGGAC